GTGATGATAATGATGATGATGGTGATGATGATGATGATGATAATGATGATGAAGATGTGACAGCAGTTGTTTTGGGGTTTTTTTTTGGTCATCTTATGTTATAGTTGAGGTCGTGTTTTGCTATTTTTATGTTGCTATTGTTGTTAGTGTTGGTGTTGCTGTTATTGTTAGTGTTGGTGTTGCTGTTGCTGTTGGTGTTGGTGTTGCTGTTGTTGTTAGTGTTGGTGTTGCTGTTGTTGTTAGTGTTGGTGTTGCTGTTGTTGTTAGTGTTGGTGTTGCTGCTGTTATTGTTGTGCAATTGTGATGCTGTTTCTCATGTTGTTTCTCAGATTGTGATGTTGTTTCTCAGATTGGGATGTCGTTTCTCAGATTGTGATGTTGTTTCTCAGATTGTGATGCCATTTCTCAGATTATTATTTTGTTTTTCAGATTGTGATGTTGTTTTACAGATTGTGAAGCGCTGGTTCGTGGACAACATGGACTCAAATGACCGCGGCATCCTCCGACTGCTGCATGTGCTGGCCGTGCTAGAGCTCACAGAGGTCCTGGACAAGTGTATCAGTCTGCTCAAGATCTAGTAAGTTCTTCTTCCTCGCCAGTCTCCTCAAGATCTAGTGAGTCTCCTCAAGATCTAGTGATATCTCTTCTTCCATCAGTCTCCTCAAGATCTAGTGAGTTCTCCTCCTCCTCCAGGCTCCTCAAGATCTAGTGAGTTCTCTTCCTTCCTCCCCAGTCTGCTCAAAATCTAGTGAGTACTTTTCCTCCATTATCAGTCTCATCAAGATCTAGTGAGTTCTCTTTCTTCGCCGTTATCACAGACTTGTTGGTGACGACGTGTGGAGACATTGTGTTGTAAACTGGCCGAGAACTCAAACTCAAATATTGGGCCACCCAACTAACCGGGGATGTGGCTGGACAATTGAGAATAATTAGGAGCTTGGCTGTTAGACTGAATCTAGTTAAAGTAAAAATGTGAACAAGAATGGCGTAGGGAAACCCGATCAGAATCCGTAGATTATATCCACGTTTAGTGCCAGTGTATAACTGTACTTCATTATCGCATCCTTATTGATTTATTGTTGGCTAGGCACTCTACGTAACTCACCGGGAGATACAAAAGTTTTTGTGGACTATTTTATGTTGGATCTCCCAGGGAAACTCATGAGGGTCCTGGTTAGACAGCCACTGTGACCGTTTTGTGACAAGACTAGATTAGTTTAGAAATTGTTCTGGCATTTGCTACAACACACACATAGTCTGTTAAATCACCACGAAGTCACATGATTATTGTGTTCTGTCTAGCCGGGACCAGTCGCAGAGGGTGGATCAAAATTTAGATGGGGCTCAGGTTTCGTCCACTTCTTTACCACCAAATAGCAACCAATACGCCCTAAACATTACGGATTTTCTATACTCACGGCGAGCCACGGTATTTTGAGAACCGTTCAAACGAGAAGAGTAACCTTTGTCTTCTGTCTCTTTGTTCTAAGTTAGATTCTTTTGGATGAAAAGGTTGTCTTAAAAGTGGTTCGACGTGATTTATAATTTTTCAATCTCAGCGGCACAAACACAAAACTTACACACTCAGCACTTCAAACATATTCCGTCTATGAGCTGGATTAGTTGACCGTGTAGTCGTCGAATGTACAACGCACCTAACAAAGGTCCAATGACCGCGTAGGTATCTGTGCCACTGGGGGAAAGTTTGACGTTAGCTTTCACTCCATTGTCAGAGCTAGGAGAACGTGAGCCATCCGTAGTGTTCTTTTCCCCAGTCTTCTACCTTTTTTTTACTAGAAGAATTTCATTACGAAGGTCCGTGGGAATGGGCTCATCCTGTGCTGAGCCCTAAAGACATTTGATTGGCTGTTAGATTACTATAGTTGTAAGCAGAGACAACAGCGATTGGATAAGCGAGCAAGCTGCCAAGTTGATCACTCTGTGTTCATTGCGGGCGACCTTAACGGTTTAACCGCTTATTTTGTTATTTAAGAAACTGTCATTTACTTTGGGATAGAGTTGAGGGGGGATGGGAGGGGGGCTCAAGCCTCACTACCCACTGCCACAGGCCAGGACAAGACACTAAACGTCACAAATTAGAAATGACCCCAAAGTGATCTTTCTTTAGCTCACCTGTATCAATATTAATAGGGTTTTCAGCCCGGTTGATAGGCGGGCG